TGTCTCTGAACCTCTCCTGCATGTGTGTGGGGGTGTGTCTCTGAACCTCTCCTGCATGTGTGTGGGGGTGTGTCTCTGAACCTCTCCTGCATGTGTGTGGGGGTGTGTCTCTGAACCTCTCCTGCATGTGTGTGGGGGTGTGTCTCTGAACCTCTCCTGCATGTGTGTGGGGGTGTGTCTCTGAACCTCTCCTGCATGTGTGTGGGGGTGTGTCTCTGAACCTCTCCTGCATGTGTGTGGGGGTGTGTCTCTGAACCTCTCCTGCATGTGTGTGGGGGTGTGTCTCTGAACCTCTCCTGCATGTGTGTGGGGGTGTGTCTCTGAACCTCTCCTGCATGTGTGTGGGGGTGTGTCTCTGAACCTCTCCTGCATGTGTGTGGGGGTGTGTCTCTGAACCTCTCCTGCATGTGTGTGGGGGTGTGTCTCTGAACCTCTCCTGCATGTGTGTGGGGGTGTGTCTCTGAACCTCTCCTGCATGTGTGTGGGGGTGTGTCTCTGAACCTCTCCTGCATGTGTGTGGGGGTGTGTCTCTGAACCTCTCCTGCATGTGTGTGGGGGTGTGTCTCTGAACCTCTCCTGCATGTGTGTGGGGGTGTGTCTCTGAACCTCTCCTGCATGTGTGTGGGGGTGTGTCTCTGAACCTCTCCTGCATGTGTGTGGGGGTGTGTCTCTGAACCTCTCCTGCATGTGTGTGGGGGTGTGTCTCTGAACCTCTCCTGCATGTGTGTGGGGGTGTGTCTCTGAACCTCTCCTGCATGTGTGTGGGGGTGTGTCTCTGAACCTCTCCTGCATGTGTGTGGGGGTGTGTCTCTGAACCTCTCCTGCATGTGTGTGGGGGTGTGTCTCTGAACCTCTCCTGCATGTGTGTGGGGGTGTGTCTCTGAACCTCTCCTGCATGTGTGTGGGGGGGGGTGTCTCTGAACCTCTCCTGCATGTGGGCGTCTCTGACTTTCTCATGTATGTGGGATTTCCATACATATATATATTAAATGTGGTTATTTTCTCTTGCTAATCCGTCTCATGTCTATTTGATTGCTGGCTTCAGCAGCACAAATATTTTTTAAAAAAAGTTATTTGAGCCAAACAGAGGATACTCCTAGAAGCAAGATCTCAACAGACTGAGAGAAAATGCTTCTCAGCATGTCATTTTGCAGCTTCTTTTATACACCTGGGATTGAGGAGGGAACATAGGACCCGCCCTCCTTGGGGTGCACCCACTCAAATCTCTTTTTCGAGTGAACTTTCTTTCTCCTAAACTCAAAGGGTCCCCTTGAGACTTGCAACCAGGGGAGAAATGGGCAGCAGCAGTTCATCCTGGGCTAACCCATGAACCAGTCCCCAAGGCCCCCTTCTCTCTGACTTCCCCGTGAGCTGACAGCAGCCCAGCCTGGCCCCCTTTCCCATAACGTTTGTAAAGAACCAAAGCAGCCCCGCCTACTCTCTCGCTTAAGTCCTTTCTTGTATCACTCGCTTCCCAGCTTTAACAAATGTACTCTCAAAATAAAAATAAAATCATTTTTAAAAGGAGGGAACATAAGATTACATGAGGGTGGGAGAAAGCAAGGTGGGAATTGGATTACAGGCTGAGTCATTTCAAAGGTTTGTTAACCTAGATGCCCGGAGGAATGAACAGGGCTTGCCTGGAGTGTGACTACCCACCGTGACCTGCCCAGTTAGGAATTATGATCAGATCCCCCTGTGAAGCTGCTTTCCATAGAACCCCTTTTTTGTCCATATGAATCTGAAGCTTTTAAACTGTTTGGCACATAGTACTTGCTACTGTGGACAAAGAAAAAAAAAAAAGAGAGAGGTTCTGTAATAAAACTGACAAGTCCAGTGATGGAAAGTAACCTTATGGGGTGATCTGGCATTTCCAAGGTGTGTTAACCTAGATGCACTGTAACAATGGACAAGGTTTGCTTAAACTTTCACTAAAGAACTTATATGCCTGGGGTGTGCCTACCCACTATAACCTGTCCAGTGATGAATTCATGATTTATTACAGCACCCCTTTCCATCCACAATGTACTATCTATGACATTTTGAGTAAGGATGTGGTAAAGTACCTTGGGGGCTTCAAAGGATTATTGCAGGAAGGGCCGGTGTTTAGTAATTAGTTTTCCCTGCCCTATAGATATGTTAAAATGTTATCTCTGATAATCTCTTACTACGGGCAGGGCCCCTACTAGGTAGTTAAGTTGGGACGGCTCTGAACCCCTACATGGTCAACACATATTACAGTCCATTTTCCGCACAGCTTAAAACTCCCCACTTAAGGCTCAGCCGGGTAGCTCAGTTGGTTAGTGCACCGTCCCCAGACACCAAGGTTGCAGGTTCAATTCCCGGTCAGAGCACATACAAGAAACAACTAATGATGCATGAATAATCGGGAAAAAAATCAATGTTTCTCCCTCTCTCTCCCACTCCCGTTCTCTCTCTCTAAAACTCAGCCAGTCGACCCCCTGCTTAAAACCTTTCATGGTTACCTATTATTTTTATGGAAGAAGTTTGCAACATCCTCCTCCAAATCTTTCAAAGGCTTTTCCTCTTTTAAATTATATTTATTGGGGCAGCGTTAGTTAATAACACGAGTTTCATATGATACGTCATCTGTATACTGCATTGTGTGCTCCCACCCAGGGTCTAGTCTCCTTCCATCACCTTATACCTGACCCTTTTCTGTTAATCCTACCCCCACCCCCTTCCCCTCTGGTCACCACCATGCTGTTATCTGTGTCTATGAGTTTGTTTATTTTGTTTGTTCATTGGTTATTTTCTATTCCACATGAGTGAAATCATATGGTTTTGTTTTGTTTTTTCAATTTATCTTGTTGAAAGTATTACAGATATCCCTGTTTTTTCCCCCATTGACCCCCTTTACTCCCAGGTCTTCACACACTATTGTCTGTGTCCATTGGTTATGCATATAAGCTCTTTGATTAATCTCTCCCCACCTACTCCCCCACCCCCGCCTTCCCACTGAGATCCATCAGTCTGTTCCATGCTTCTATGTCTCTGGATCTATTTTGTTCCTCAGCCTATTTTGTTTATTAGATTCCACATATCAGTGAGATCATGTAAAACTGAATCAGGAAGAATCAGAAAACCCGAATAGGCCAATAACAACTGATGAAATCAAAGCAGTAAAAAAAAACAAAACTCCCCACAAACAAAAGCCCTAGTCTGGACAGCTTCACAGGGGTGCTTTCTAATTCTTTAAGTCGTAGAGTTAGTGTTGACTTTTTATCTGGAAGATCTATCCAGTGAAGTCAGTGGGGTGTTCAAGTCCACGAGTATGACAGTATTGCTGCTGATCTCTCCCTTAAAGTCCTCAAGGTTATTGATAGGTCCTTATTTATTGCCACTTTAATTCTCTATTGCCTGTGTTTCTCTCTCTGTTTCTTATTACAGCAGGCCCTTTAACATTTCCTGCAATGCTGGTTTGGTGGTGATAAACTCCTTTAGCTTTGTTTTGTCTGGGAAGCTCTTTATTTCACCATCTATTTTGAATGAGAGCCTTGACAGATAGAGTAGTCCTGGTTTCAGATCCTTGTTTCATTACCTTGAATATTTCATGCCATTCCCTTCTGGCCTGTGGAGTTTCTGATGAGAAGTCAGATGACAGCCTCATGGGAGCTCCTTTGTCGGTAACAGATTGTTTTTCTGTTGCTGCCTTTAAGATTCTCTCTTTGTCTTGAATTTTTGGCATTTTAATTATGATGTGTCTGGGCGTGGGCCTCTTTGGCTTCTTCTTGTTTGGGACTCTCTGTGCCTCCTGAACTTGTGTGACATTTTCCTTCACCAGGTTAGGGAAGTTTTCTGCCATTATTTTTTTAAATAGGTTCTCTATCCCTTGCTTACTTTTGACCTCCTCTGGTACTCCTATGATGTGAATATTGTTACATTTCGTGTTGTCCCTCAGCTCCCTTAAAGGCATTATTCTAAGAGAAAGAAGCCAGTCTTAGAGGTAACATACTATATGATTCCATGGTGGAGAACAGGTCAATGCCTGGTGGGGTTTAGGGATGGGACTGGAGGTGCCTACAAAGGGGTAGCATGAAGAAGTTTTTGGGGGTGATGGAAATGCTCTGTGTCCTGATTGTGGTAGTAGTTACATGAATCTATGTATTAAAGGTCATAAATTGTACACCAAAAATAGGTCAATTTTGCTGTATGTTAAGAAAATGCTATAAAAAAGGGAAAAACAAACGTCTGTGAGTGTATAGGTACCTATGAAGTATGAATGTTGGCTTTTGAATGAAAGATGTCACAGGAAATACACACGTCTTTAATGCTGGTTACTTTGTAGAGGAAGGGAGCAAAAATTATCACCTTTTTCAGGGTACATGTTTGGCAATGTTTCACTTATCTCAAGTAGTATGTGGTGTTTCAAAATTTGAAAAACATCTACTAAAAATGGAGAACACTAGGAAAATATTTAAAAAGAAGAAAAGAGTATCTCTTCTTTGTTCTCTAACAATATGTTAGAGAACAAGAGAACTATGTCACCATTCTTGCAGAGCACAGCCTGGTAGAGTTCAGTCCCCAGGTCTTACAGATGGCTCACATGCAAATTATGACATTACTAGTACCTGCCTATATAAGGATAGACACTTTAACAGATGCTTGAAACAGTGCCTGGCATCCGTGATAAATATAATGTAGGCTGCTATTAATGCATCATCTATGAATTTGGAGAAAATTGCCATCACATTGCTCTGATGACTTCAAAGTACCTGTCATGTAACAGGGGGTCAGTTAATGTTAGCTTTGTTAGCAATTGCAACCTGGGTACTGGGATGCGGGGCAGAGGGCAAGGATCTGGCCCTGTTTGGTTTTCTAGGTCTCTCCACTTATCTGTTTTTTGTGGCCTTGCTATCATTCTAACTTCAGGGAAGCCTCTCCCTCCTTCCCCTCCCTGGCTGACCTATCACCCTCCCTCAGGATCCAGATGCAGGGCGTTTCCCTCTTAGCCCCACACTTAACTCCTTCCCCGCATCTAGCTTGGTGCAGAGGGACATCCATATCCTGAACGTGTGGGTGAGACATAATAGCACTGGTGGACCTCAAGGGGAGCCAACCTGTGGGAGCCAACCTGTGTGATTTCAGAGCAGGGCAGGATCTGAAAGGTATTGGAAGGAGGTGACCCCTCAGGGCACCAGGAATCTTTAAGAAGAGTGAGAGAATTGGGGGAAATACCCAAGGATGGGGGGAAAGGGTACTTACATTTTCTTTCTCTGAACAGGCAGATGGCGCTTCTTCCAGCTAATAAAGCTCTCATTTCCACAGGAATGAAGGAATTTAATGCTCTGCTGAATCAGCAGGTAAGCCCAGGTATTCTGTCTCAAAGGGCAGGCCTGGTGTGTTGAGTGGTGGGTGAGGGCAGAGAAGGGAGGAGAATCTGGGGCTGGGAGAGTGACGGTGGAGGTGACAGAAACAACTAGAGGTAGGAAATACAGATCAGAAAAAAGAGGGTGGCAGAGTTTGTGGGTTGTTCTGACTCACTGCTGACCCCCACCCCCCAGGTCTTCAGTGAGCCTCCTATCTCTGAAGAAGACATGTTGACTGTGGTGAATGACTGGGTGAAATTCTACATCGACTATTATAGGCAGCAGATGATGGGAGAGCAGCAAGAGCAGGACAGGGCTCTGGAGGAACTTCAGAAAGAGCTGAATACTCTGGCCATCCCCTTCCTGGACAAGTATAAGGCCTTCCTGAGGTCCTTGTGAGCACCAAGTCACCCACCGCTTTTCCCCTGGCCTGGGGACCAAGGCCGGCACCTCTAGGAAACCCGCCTCTGTACCCTTCAAGTCCTCAGGCTCAGCTCCTTGGTGTTGCTCTATCTTGACGCCTCAATAAAGACCAACACTGGCTTTGCTGGTCTTCCTGGCTCTCCTACGGTTGTCTGTCCTTGACTTGTGGAAGGAGTTGGTCTCTCTCCCTTCAGTCCTGCTTCCCAGATGGGATCTTGGAGATTTCATAAAGTAACCACTGGCAGGTACTAGAATAGCCTAAAAGAGGGGCAAGGGAGGCAGGCACTAAAGAGAAAGTGCTCGGGGAGGGCGGTTGGAAAAAGAGGGAGATAGAAGTTCTCCAGGAGCTGCGGCCTGTGAGCGCTTGTCTGGAAGGCAACTGTTGGAAGTCCCGGTCCTGTTCCTTCCGCGCGGGACGGCATCGAGCGAGACCCACCGCCTCAGCCGCCAGGCTCCTGCCCCCAACCCGAGCCTGAGCGAAGATCCGGCCGACCCCAGCGACCCCGCACGGCACTTCCCTGCAGCGCGGCTGTGGCTTGGAGTTGAGGGGGTCTTGGAAACTTTATTACATCCCCTGTTTTCAGAAGGGAAAACCTCTGGCTCCCTCACTCCTTAGCCCCAGACCCGTGCGGGAGGCAGCCGCTCCCGCCCCGCGCTCGCTGCGGCCGCGCCT